TGAAAATTCTGAAAAAACTTCGATTTGAGGCAAAATCTTCTATTAAACTATACTTTTTGAACACATTGTTACTCAAACATAATATTTACCGGGCCATCGAATCGTCAAATTGTCGCCAGGCCCTGCTTGAAGTCCGAAAGTTCGGTTTTCACTTTACGTCCATAATTCGCATCGCCTTAGAGAATCGTAGTGTCGTTGACTTGAGAGCTTATTCTGTCACTTTTAAGACCTGGATATCCATTCTTTTCCAAGTAGAGTATTCTATAGCATTGTTACTTTACATTCTGAATTCCACAAGGTCTAACTCGATCGCAAATGAACGAAAAATCCGACCTGAAAATTTTGAGGGTCGGCCGCGTGGACGCCATATTTTCAAATTTGATCATTTAGTGAAGACGCATAGAGTAATGCCCCTCTAGTACCCCCTAAAGTCGAAAAAATATATGCGCAAACAACGGATTCTGATTGGCTTATTGATCTCCAAACTATAGAGGAAGTTTGGGGACAAAATTCCACTTAGTATGGGAGGTAGGGGGGAAAGCGTTCTCGCGCGAGGCGATCGCGAAGTTCGGGCGGTTACGGGCGGTTCAGGAGTCAATGGGTTAACCAGAAAAAAAAAAATGAAAAGATAAGAAAAGATTATTAAGAAAAAATAATTACTCACCAATACTTCAAGATCAGGTACTGAATGAGTTCCAAGGCCTGCAGGTATAAAAATTTCAAAGAAAAATCCAATAAAACTAGAGAAATATTGACCACTACAAGCTGAAATGTTATTATAAAACTATTCCAAGTTGTTGTTGTGCATTACTTTATTACAAATTCAACTGGCCACTTGAGAGACTCTTTGTCACATGTAAATTTATTGGTCATCAGTATTATCATAACAATTATCATTAATTAACATTTATTCACCAAAGAGGAGGTGAATAATGATGGATATTTACTGAGCTGCAAAGCCGTAATGCAAATCTCCACCACTTTCACCAACACTGACATGAATAATTGTTTTAAAATATACCACAGAGATATACTTAAAAATTAGTTTACTTTTTTTATGCCGAAAAATGGTCAGAAATAAAACTTTTTGTGCATGACTTTGTCTAATCAGCAACTCAGAGGTGAACACTACTTGCTATTCACTTCCAAACTAGCCAATCAGCATGTGTGAAAAGCACTCTCCACTCCTGCAGTATATATCTTTATTATTATTATTATTAGTGGTAGTAGTAGTAGTACTATAATTGTTATCATTATTATCATTATCAGTTTTATTTACATTTATATGCATTTTAGAACTCCATAGAAGATGTATTATCATAAGACCCATTCAGCACTGCTCACACAATCCTATAGGAAACCATAGTAAAAGCTAATGTGCAGGGCCAGACAGGTTGACGTAAGCCAGTCCAGACAAAGGAGTCCAGCCCTGCTGCTCTCTTGTCACTTTATTGCAAAAACGTAAAGGAAAACAGAAGTGACAAAAAAAGAGTCGGTTTTTTCAAAGAATTGGGATTTTCTTGTTCTGACTTGAAAAACTAAAGGAAAATTAATGATCAATACAGAATTATTTTTGTGCTCCTGTGCCTCGCATCCTATTTAGGCTGAACTTTTTAACACTTGGTGCATTATATTGACTGAGTTTGGCTCTTGGTCATGAGGCACAGACCTCACTGTGCTCTGTCTGTAGTAAATATTTTCCCGCCCAGCCCTCCTACTCAGTCATTACGTACATATTACTATAAAGCTGTAACACAATAAAATCATACTAAGTACTGCTAATTTAAACAAGCTCTGAATACAAACCTGGGCGATCAAAAGTTACTCTGTAAGAGAAATTTACAGTATCAACAGCATCTATCTGACCGGTCAAAAGGCCATCATGAGGAGGCTCACGCAGGCGGGCTGGAGTGAAAGGAAATCAAAATTAACCCTTTCACTTCAAAAGTGGTTTTCAAGTGTCCTCTCCTCAAAATTTCAGATTTTTCTCTATGATCACTAAGGGATTCACCAACATTAACCCAAAGTGGCAGATGAGGATTTAAATAAATATCATTTCAAGAAAATAATTATGTAAATAAAGCCTGAAGTGTTTGGCATCTGCCCAGAAAGTCAAAAGGGTAAAGATTAATGTTTATAATGATCAAACAACCAACCTGTAACCTTTGTTCCAATAACTAAAGGTAACGGAACTTCATCTGGTAAATCTTTGAACCTGCTTAGTTCAGTAACCTGTTGATAGGCGATAAAAATCTTGTTGACATCACTAAAACACTTACAGGACATAATTGGCAAAAAAGAACTACTGACAAAAATAACAGTCCAAAAAGACACCAATCATTCTAGAAAGAAAAAAAAAGTGAAGACTGGCCTTTCGTTGCTGAAGCATGCGGATCTTTCGTCTTTTCTCTTCCAAGGCTTGCCGCTCCTCCAGGAAAAAGGCTGGAGAACATCTAAAGTGTACAACCAACAAAACAACTTTGACCTAGACTTTTACATCCCAACATAAAATATGAATACATGTATTCTTCATACTATTATCTGAGCATTTCCTGTGGTGCCAATGGCAAGAATTTGTTTGACAATCAAGAACTTCTTCAGCCTGCAATTGTTTTCTATATTCTCATATCTTTACTGTTTGATTTAGGGGTGATGCTGTAAGGAGAAGTTTGATGCTGGTCAGTCGAGGGGATGAATGGCTCAATCAACATAAAAAGTCAAGTGAATAAAGGGGGTAGGTTTCTAAAGAGACTGCAGTGTTGCATGGGTAACGAGCTAATTTGGTTACATCAATTAAGTTGAAATTGTAAATTGGCGACCGTAAAGAGTTAAAAAACTGATGTTTTAAGCATTAGCCCTTCGTCAGAGCAAATGGCAAAGGGCTAATGCAGACTAAATTTATGTTTAAGAAGGGCTAATGAAGGGCTAACAAAGAGCTAACAAAAGTCTCTGATGGAGGGCTAACAGCGAATGGCGAAGGGCTGATGAAAACTAAACTGATGGTTACAAAGGGCTGACAAAGGAATAACAAAAGGCTAAGACACAGGGCTAACGCTTGAGATGTCAACTTTTTAACCCTTTACAGTGGCCAATTTACAATTTCATATTAGTTGATATAACCAGATTACAACATACTGAAAAGTACCAGATAGTGTACCCTATGAACAAATTATCTCAAACTACATGTAGCTAGCAATACATTAAAAAAAAAAAAAACTCTACTGTAACAACAACAATAACCAGAAATTGAATTTAGTTTTCTTTAGAAAACATCCATCATTCACATTTACTGTTAACAGTAATCCAACCTTCACTAACCTTCTTGGTTTACCCATTAATCTTCTAACTTCCCTCCATTCAACACGACGTAATTTGTGAGTCTATTAACAAAAGAAGGTCACAAACACACGATATTACATATTACTACAAAAAAGCATAATAATTTAGTGTTTTTCTTCACCATTCCTGTTTTAGACTTAACTCTTTAGCTCCCGGATGTGATTAACATGTACCTTTTCCCTGTAAACTATATGTATTTACATAATCCAGTAAACAGGTACTGAGAATACTGAAACCCATCAGGTAGAAGTTTACGATTTATGGCACCTGGCTTTCAATTAAAGAGCAAGTCTAGATGGGAACAACCACCATCAAATCTTGGGAAAATTTATGATTTGTTTGCTAATTATTTTGTGATTTTTTCAGAGAACTTTTTTCATGGATTGCAGCAATTATAATTTATACAAGTTGTGAATAAACTTTAGATAGACAACCAGTAAAGGCAAAAAAGCAAAAGCCAAAACACCAAAATGCCTGGATAAGCAACAAGTAAAAAATAACATCAATTCTGAAAGCATCTACCTTCAAATTTGGAAATGATTCCCTCAGGCAAACATGGAAGTCGTTGTCACCTTGAAATAAGACTCTAGAATAAATTTAAAACAAAATCAGAGTCATATCAGTTGATGAGTTTTGAAAACCAATAAAGTTTCCAGCAAAAGTGCTTCCACTACCTGTCTAAGCTGGAGTAGAACCATTCAAAATAACACCATCTTGCTGCTTTGGGTAACTTCAAAAGGTTCTGTAACTTGGCAAATGAAGCCTAAAGAGACCAATTCACAACATTACATATCAATCAATTCACAGCTTCAACATTCCCCCCCTCCCCTCCCACACTTCTCCCTCGCAACCCACAGGCATTTAACTCATTTAACTGTCATCCCTGCCCTGGTGGGGTAGGGCATTTGAACCAGCAAAATACATGTTTTAATTTTAAATACGGAGGAATTACATGGTAAAGAGTCTGCTTTAAGGAGCAAAGGCTTAGAAGAAAATTCTCACATTGTAGAATGATACCTGCAAGTGAAAAACCCCCACTCTTTGTAAACATTACACTACCCTTTATATTGTATTTTTCACACTCCTTTTAGCAGTGCGTTTTATTTTTGCTTCGATATAAACATTTTTCCAACAAGTGTTTCCTCTTTCATAAATTCCCTCAGCATTCAGTAAGTTTTTGTCTTTTCATATCTTTGCATTTATTTTTCTTGTCTTATTTCTTAGTATATTCTTATAAAGGTCCTTTTTCTGTTTCTTAGGAATTTACTTCTTCACTGCTATATTTAAGGAGTTAGTGAATCAAATGCTGAGTAAATGGGTCTTATGGAAGCGGGCCCTTGCCTCTTTAGTTCTTTTTCATCACAGATAGATTTTCACAAAAATTCTTAACATCACACAAGGCAAAGTGTTGATCCCACCTTCTCCTCTGTTTTGTTGCCTCAGAACAAGACCAGCAATAAAAATCAATGACTTAAAAAATATCTATAAGTTTAATGTACCTTAGCAAGCCTCTTGTCTGTACTACCATTGCCAAATAACTAAACAATCATAAACAAAAAAATTATAACCATTAAAATGTTAAAAATTTCATTAATTCAAAACACTTAGTGTTTTGTATTAATAAGGAAAATTTTAATCACTTGCAAATAAAATCATAATTAAATTTGTTGCAATCATATACATGTTCACTTAAATAAAGGGGATGAGTTTCTAAAGAAACTATGGCATTGTGGTAGTGGTGGAGTATAACAAGGTAATTAAATATGGTTTTATTGAATAAGTTGATAATGTAAGTTGGCCACAGTGAAGAGTTTCAAAGCTGATGTTTTGAGCATTTTGGCGAATTCATTCTGACATAGAGTTAAAAATGAATGACTAGTTTATTAAACTCTCTGGCAGTAAAGGACCTGAATTATCGAGTGTATTTTACAATCTTAGGGCAACTAATATCTATTAAAAACTAAAAATTTACAACTATAAAGTCCTCCATTCTCTTTGTCCTACAAATCTAAATGTTTTGGAAGGGATAGTACTTTTGTGTTTTCTGCCTTAAGTTGTAATTAGGAGCGTGCAGGAGTGGGCTGGGGAGCAGATGGTGCAATGGGTGGCTGGGGGAGTTCATTTTTGCCATGTATTTATAGGCTAACCCTTGAAATGTCAGCTTTGAAACTCTTTATGGTGGCCAGTTTACATATTATCAACTCAGTTGACAAAACCATAACTACAAACATGTACACATAGTTACTTACCAGAGAAGCTGCTTTTGTCATTCTCCTGTAGGAAAGCAGATTTTCTCCAGTTAACAAATTACTCCACTTTTAAAATTATTATTCTAATGCAACTGGCAGGGGTTTTGTTTATGCTTACAGCAAGAAGGCATCTGGATTTGGCACTAGCACATAGACTTTGCTAGAACTCAAAGAACCTCCCTCCCCCCTCCCCTATCAGTGGTCCAGAGGAGCACTTTCCCAGAAAATCCAACACAAACTTTCATTTATTAAATCTCTTTATGTTTTAAGTTCAAAGATGTATTACCAAGGCTGTGCTCTAAGAAAAACTGAAGGGAGCCCAGTGCTCTGAAACTGTGAAATCCAGGGTGCCCAGGATATGTTTTATATGAAAAACCTAAGATTCCTGAGTCGCCCAAGAGCAAAAGTAAGGTGCCAGGGGACACCGGGAGCTGCTAGAGCACAGCCCTGATTACTTTTGAGAAGACATCCAAGGAAAACAAGGAAGAGTAACTTATACTTTGTTCTTTACATTGAGATTTTGAAAGCAGTGGTCAATTTTCCCGATACACAGCCCACGATGAAACCCCTGAACTAAACATAGAATCTTGCTACATGAACGTACTTGATTCCTTTCAGTTGTAACTAAGGTTCCATCAATTCATTTTTAATCAGATATAGGGAACTGTTAACAAACATAAACAAACCTTGTTCTGGGGGAGGAGAGTGAGTATTCCTGGAAAAAAAAAAAAAAACCTGAAAATTAACCAGTTTAGAAAGCCAGCATATTCAAAAAAAAAAAAAAAAGGAAAAGAATACTGGATATCCTGTTACTTATACAATATCAGTGACACACGTGGCCATGCCCTCTGTGCCACCATTGTTGTCAGACTCATGAAGCATTTGATAAGAAGGATTTAGCAAGCTTAGGTTCAAGCTTCTTTATGTACCACAATCCTCTTCTCAGATTCCGTCGCAGATAGAAAAAAAAAAGTGATGACTGGGTACAAGTCTGCTTTTTTGTTTCTTACTACATTTTGAATTATCATCTGTGATCTATTGCACTAAAGAGAAGCATGGCAACATGGAATCTATGTATTCTATTTATTAAGAAAACACTGTTATCACCAGAATAATTAATTTTGTCACAAGGGTTCTCACTTACCCCTTCATCTGTGCCTCTGTCTAAGTCAGAATCCTCCACACTGTCATCGGTCTGTCTGGTTCTTTTCTTAGACCGTGGCTACAAAGGTAGAAATACCCATGATACTCTTTAACATTTACTGACAAGAGAGAAGATGAACACAGACCTAAAAAGTTCCATAACTTCCTGACAATGATAGAATCAAAATAAATTTCAATGCCACAATGCTTTTTAAAGACATCTTTCAGCTTGACTCATTTGATCATAAGTTTAACCTGTTGTATCCATGTCCTTTGACTAAAATCAAACTATATCATTTGAACTTAAGTACCATTACAATAGTTTAACTAGACCTGCACTTACCAGTGCAACCTTTGGAAGGTTAATCTATACCAATATTATAATTACAGTTATGTTACATCTATACATTCAGTTCAGGTTGCAAGCAGCTAATGTACAATGCCTCTTTTAAGTTAACCAGGGCTCGATACTAACGGTAGCCAACTAGCCACAGACTAGTAGAAATTCAGTTTTGGCTAGTGGTTTTCGATTTCCACTAGCCAGTTTGGCTAGTAAACAAACGGAAATTGTCGAAACATCTGAGATGTCACCAGCCACTTGTCTCATAAGTTGAAAAGTTAGTGTCGAGCCCTGTTAACCCTTACACTTCCAAGATCTGATTAGAAATTCTCCTTGCTGTCTGTCATACAATTTCTGATATGAGTTTGGAGAGTTTGGTATTGGATCAACTAATGATCCCCTACTTGATATTCAGATTCTATATTCTCATCACTTGTCTGCTTGAGATTGTACTGATATTGTAAGGAGAAATTCTTTCTTGGTCACTCACGGGAGTTCAAGGGTTAAGGCAGTAAGCAGTTACAGTTGAGTCTAGGATATTTTTGTGTGCAAAAAAAATAGCCTTTTCTCCCATCATTATCAAAACTTTGATGAAAGAAAATTACCCATCAATCCTCACCAAGAGCTGTAAAACTATACATAAAACCCTTAGTAAATATAAAATATAGTTTAATTTAGTACAATGCATCTGCATTTTTGACACCAAATATTTACAATAAGAGTACAAACCGGAGTGCTGCGTTTTGCAGGTGAGCTAAATGGGGACTGTGATCCAATACCTGGACAAAAATTCATTCTGTCAGTCTTCTTTTAGAGAAATTTTTAACTCTGTGTAAAACAAGATATCATTGAAGCAAAACCTATAGAACTAAAACTAAAAAACAGCCAGTAGAATAACAAAATAATTATTGTAAATTTCATCTTTGACTAAAGAAGTGCCCTAACTTTTTGCTGGAAAAACAACATTTTCACTAGCAAGATCTCAATCTCTTTTCTCCACACTATACCTATATATCTACAATTCATTTCTCATGATGCTAAGTATAAAGAGAATTTGGTGGTAGATCAATGTATATTTCCTTGCCAGAAATAACATGTTAAAAGTGACAGGAGAAATCACTCTTTCTTTGGTCATTCTTGGAGATGACAAAGTTGTCTAAGCATAACACAATGACACCAATGAAATGTTATTGAAGAGAGCTTCTAAATATCAAATAAGAAATTAGAATGACCACAGCAACCTACTAATTTTTCATTCATCTATTAAGCCTTTACACTCTAACATCAAAATGCATATTCTCTGTACTGTTCTTTATACATTTCATGAAAAAAAAAAAAAAAAAAGAGAATTTGTCTAACAGTCAAGAGCTTTTTTAATTAGTTGGTGATCAATATTCTTTATTCTTGTGACCTTAATGCATGATTTGGGAGAAAATGGATGCTTATCACTCTCAGGGGGCCAAAGAGTTGAGCAATGCATATCAATATTCTTGTTTCACGATATCAGAGTTAATATTAACTCTGATGATATCAATCTAGTGCAGTCTTTACCTCGTAGGCTCACCAAGGCTTCTGCAGAAGTCTCTAAAATTAAAATAACAAATAAAAAGAGAAATATCAGCTGCAATGTAAACAATCTTCTTTTTTGGAAGAAATCTCCTTTCAGCAGGCAAGACAATGCTGACGTCATTTTAAGAATTATTCCACAGAAGTTGTCTTTTTCAATAAACCAACACAAAACATTACACAAAATCTTATTTCGATAATATCATCACATTTTGCGATGCAAATATTTTTTTTTTGTGGCCTTCACACGTCTACATGATCCACTAGTTTTCTGACCTTTACTGCTGAAAGGATCTAAACAAATTCATTTAATTATTCTTCATCGAGACGATTATAAAACAGCTGTCTTATCCTTGTTTGCGAATCACAAATTAAAGTTTAGTGTCTGAATGATTCGATGATTTAAATATGTCGCACGTATGTAGATATTTACTATGATTCCACATATAACCGAAATTTGCAGCTCCTTTCCTGCCAGAGTGATGTAGCTGGAAAGATTCGATCAAGTGCATTCAACAAACTCATTCCCGCATACCTTTGGAATATCCGTATGCACTAAACAATTCCAAAGTTTTAGAGTATATATTCGTTAAAGTAGTCATACCACTAAGTTATCTTTATCAAAGATACCTAACCGGACATAATAAACGCAGTTCACTGTACCTTCTTCCGCCATTTTGTTTCGCGTAGGCGACGCGCTCTTTTTCAAAGCATACGCCCACAAGGCACTGTGGGAGTTTTTTTTTAGTTTTTTTTAATTTTTTTTTTTTTTAATTGTAATTTTAATTCAGAATTTTTTATTTTATTTAATTTTTTTTTTCAGTCACATGCATTGACAGACAAAATTAATGTTGCTTCATTATGGAAGGTCAAAATCAAAACACTTTTTATTTAAAACCATCATAACGTGGCCTTAATACTGTTTTGTCTTTATTTTTCCGCTCATTTCTCGAGTCATTCAGTAAGACTCATCAATTATCAACCCTTGTATTGCAGTAAATTGATCTTTAGTATCTTTATTTAAAATTCGCTTATTTTAACTCGGACAAAATTATCTGTAGATTCAGTGACTAACTCATTAGTCAGCTAATTCTGGTGTCTTGGGTATTGGATGTTAGTTATCCGTCATATCGCCTGTTTCGTGTTGTTGTCTAGAAAGAAGAGAATAATACATATTTAATTTCCGATTCTCTACAAGCTTGTCTCAAAAATCGAAACAGTATAATTTTAGATCGGTCTGTAAGCCAGGACAATCAGTTCAAGGAGAGAGTGGCGGGGGCTTTCAAGGACTTCTCACAAGTTCCATTAACAGGTTTATGTCAACTTACACTAACTTTTCTTCAGCCTCATGTTTAATTAATTCTATTGCAGAAAGATTTTCTAAATGGTCGATCTTGCACCGAAAAGCTGGTAATTTTTTTTTAGTCGACGTATTGCCCAAAAATCTTATCTCAAGAAAAGTTAGTCATTGATACAAGCCAAGGTAATCCTAAATACTAAATGCGTGTCAATAACTGATCCGTTCAAAAATACGAGACAACTGAAGACTATAAGGCATCCGGTGAAACGAAAAAACTCCCATTGTTTGAAATTCAAAACAAATACCTTGATTTTGAACTTAAGGGAACAGTTCATTCACATTAATTTTAGTTTGAGGAAAATACCCCGCTAATGACTTACCTCTTGCGCAGATATGTGACATATGAGGAACAAACCACTAAATTTTAATCGTGTTCTATTCTAAATTTTGAATTTTGCATTTTGTTGTTTTTTATTATTATTATTATTATTATTATTATTTTTTTTTTTTTTTTATTCAAAGAGGCCTGAAAGCGTTTTCGACACACATTTTTTTGATTTTGTGGAATTTTTTATTTTCTTACCCCATTTATTTTTTATGTGTTATATGCCCGCTTTTCAAAGAAAAAAAAAATCATCGATCTACTGGGAATAAGTTTTTACGTGTCTGCCACCTCCCGGCCAACTTTGATTCATGTTTCCCTCGTTGTAAAACGAAAATTTAAAAGTTACTTCCATTTGCTTCTTTTCGCAAAAATTTGATCCGGATGATATAAACGTTTTGTAAAAAAAATTCCAAAGACAAAAAATTTTAAATCTGAAAATCTGTCGTGCGATACTTAACTGTAAGAATCAGCTTTCCTTTATACAAAACCACACTCCAATATTGTTCTAAAGTATTATCCGTCTAAAGCACAGCTAAAAAAAAAATAAATAAATAAAGGACAATTTCAAACCTATTAAGGAGGTCAGAAGTTTGCAAAACAAAAAGAGCGCCTTCAGGTCTTCTGTTATTTTTGACCATTCAAGCGGAAATCTTTAAATCTGTATAGATATCCTTTTAACCTCCCACCAAGCAAATTAATCCTTTGACTATGTTTTGTCTCGTATGACTGATTCCTTTAGGAAATGTTTGTTATTTAATTTTATCACAATTTTCAGCCTTGTTCCGCATCCTTTTGAATGTGGGATTTCCTTGATTCGTTTCCACTCTTTTTACTCGGCCAACTCCAGTAACATGGTAACTCCCGTCAAGCTGACTTGCCAGATTGAATCTGTCTAAAGCTTCGACAAAAAACCTCTACATCTTAAGACCTCCGTCATGGTTACCAACATTCGCAGCATTCTTAGACGATCAGGTATTGTACACGTCTCTTTTTGCGGTCAGATCTGTGTCTCCGTGTCAGAGAGGCTCTCAAGGCGAGAGTTATTGAGCGTAAACAAAGGAACAATGATTTCAACAAATCTCCATCCGACTCAAAATCGGTCTGGAACAAATCCCATTCTGCTTTGATAACAACTTGCATGCTTGAAGTTTGCTAAGGAAGTTTCTTTCTGAGGAACTGTGTACTCATTCGCCTTATCTTATGTTAATTTTTTCCCTAGGGTTTATCGTGATCTGATCCGCGATTCACGAGGAATTCCAATCCAGAAGTGAAGAAAAATTTCGTCACGCTTGGTCAACGTCACACAATTGTCACGCACTCACCTCACGAACCAATGAAATGAATCGCCTCCCCAGTCCCTTTATGGGGAGTCAGCGGTAGCCTTATTTGAACAAACAGCAGTAATCTGTGGTTACGTGACTCATTCGGTCATGAAGTTTAGAATCGTTAGATTTATTTTAGGAATTATAGGTCTTATAGTGATAATACAAGTGTTGACGACCATCCATTTCTCGTCCAAACACTGGCCAGAAGAGCATCTAGTAATTGGGAATCGTCATGTTCCAAGATCGAGTTTTAAAACCGACCCACACGTGGGGATCGAGACAAAACAGGTAATGAAGATAAGGACAATTATTTAATGAAGACAATGTTTCTTACTATCATTTCCGTTAGTGACTATTGCCCTTTCTCTTTGGGTTGTATTGCTGCATTTAAAACTGCTAATGATTCTAGAATTGCCGATCCACCACTATAGTTTTCAATCAAAATATTGCAGCAGTATCCCTCAGCTGAACAATATTTTGCGAGCGGTTTGTTTTTCCTTTTACGCCTGTTTTATTCCAAGGAAATCCCTATCAGGATTTGGAGTTTACCAAGCATAATCGAGTTTCATATTTCTTCCTGCATGTAAAATATATATCAAAATTTATCTAAAAGGAATTTTCTACGCGTTAAGATTAGTTTTTGTAAAGCAGCTATGTTCCTTTTGAATAATTTAACAAAGTTACTGGTACTGCTTTGGTCGTCAGTCAGAGTTTTAAGCCGTAATTATTCGAACAGCGTGTTTTATAAAGAAGTTCATCTTTAACATTCCTCGTATATTTTGAAGATCTGTTTTCAAGAGAGTGTCCTTCAACTTTATTTTCACTCTAGTGTTGTGACACCCCAATAAGTTTCTAGATTGTTCAGTTCGAATTCTTATTTACTCGTCAATGCAATGATGTATGAAAAGCTGAATCTTTTAGCTATCTCCAAAATGAATGTAGTAGGGAGTTGTTAATTTGCTTTACAATCACTGAGATCGTAATAGCAATGTTTATAGTTTACTGTGATTTCGCTGCATGATTAAACGTTCGCCGGTCATTGTTCATTCGAGTAAATAAATATTCGGCCACGGGCCAGTACCAAAAAGTGACCTTGGAGTAAGTGAAAAGTTCTATTACAAAAGCAGCAATTTATCGAAAATGAACGAAATGATTATAGGAGCAAGATACAAAACTGCAATGACATCACCATCCAAAAGACATCAACATCCCACCGGTTTTGAATAATAAAAGTTACTTTCGGTAGATGAATATTTGTTTTACAGGTTAAACATAACAAAATATAATTAAAGTGGTTCTTCGAAACATAGTATTCAAACTTGAACCCTTATGAATAGTTTCTCTGGCCTTAAAATTCTCTATCAACATTCGGCAATTGGAAAATATCACTAATGCGCACGCGGCAGAAGCAATCTTAATAAATGTATCTTTAATGGTTTTAGAAGTAGTTTATCGCAATTTTTTATCGTCAAATGTTTTTCTAAATCGCTCCTTCTTGTTTATTAATATTGCTAAAGGATATTTTTCACTTTAAGAGGGGCTTTTTAACTGATAATAACTTTTCTATTTTAATGTTAAGCAATAAGTTATTTTTGTGTTTAAATAACACACAGCTGAATTCATAAAATCTGGGTCATAATTTTTCTCAAAATCATTCCTTACCTTGCCTGTTTCATTCCCAAATTTTCATTAGAAATTCTCCTTACTGTCTGCTATTTCATTACAATGTTGTTGGTTTAGAGAATTTGGAATTGTATTAACTAATAATCCCCTAATTGAAATTTTTCATTATTCATATCATTTGTCTGCTTGATACTGTAATGACATTATTAAGGTGAAATTCTGTCTTGGTCAATTATAGGATTGTGATCAAGAATACAATCCCCATCATTAATAACTCATTAATTGAATTCAAACTGTTTTTAACTTTTTTCAATTGTAATTTTTCATGTAGCATCCGTTACAAGATGAACATGAGAGAAAACCAGAGAAAAATAATGAGCAAGCAGCTTTAGAGCAGCCATTTGTTCCTCCATGTCAAGTGAAACACAAAGATGCTCTTTCTGCATTAAAGAGGGTGAAATCTGAGAAATGTAAAAGACTTATTTACAAGACAGCATGTCTGTCAGAGGCCAAATTGCTTTATACCTCTCTACTGGACATTAAGAGAACTTGCCCTGCACCACGTTCCACCAAGGGTCCTGCTAGACCAATTGATCTAAGTCGCACAGCATATGGAAACCCAATCAGGATTGCATTTGTTCTTACTCTTCATGGACGAGCTTTTCGACAAGTGAAGAGATTGTTCAAGGCCTTGTACCACAATAATCACTACTTTTTCTTTCACATTGACACTGTAAGTATTATTTGATTCTTCAGATAGACAAAGTTTATATTGGTAATAATTTAAAATGATTTCCAGTGCAATTTGGTGTTAAAAAGCAGGAGTAAATTTTTCAAAGACAACAAAATTACCAGTTAGTGGTCTTTGAAAAATTTTACAAGTGCTCATTTACACCAAATGGCACTTGAAATCATGTTTTTACTTATTTATAATTTACATGAGAAAGCATCACAGAAAGTCAAGATGGCACACATGCTATTTGTAATTTGCACTTGGGTTACAACTTTGCACTTGTGTTACACAAAAAATGCACTCTTTTTCAGCCAATCAGAAGCACATAATTTTTTCATGTATATTTTTAAAGCCTACACACCCTAACATCAATATCCATTTTCTCTATACTCTCCTCTATAAATTTCCTTTGGTACTGACGAGGAGAATTCTTCTACTTCCTTCTCTTTTGTTTTTCATGCATACTTCGAACTAAAAGAAAATAAAATGTCATACTCCCTAGG